GCTTCCGGTATTGGTAAATCATGTGCCATAGAATTATTGAATGAAGGCGCGATGGTAAGTGAAAAATAAAAAGAAAAATCTTCAATTCACAGAACAATTTAAAAACTCTTGCAAAAGGAATATTTTCTTAACTTCCGTTTAATCATAAAATATCGTTAATGAATTCAATTAGCGTGAAATATGATTTAAGTGAAAACAATTTTGAAATAAAAATTTTGCAATGATATATTCCTAAATATCAACATTAAAAATTTAATTATTATTTAAAAAAATATTTAAAAATCTTATACAGGGAGAATATATTCAATTTTATAATGATTATCAGTTAAATTCATTGAGTTTCGTTTATTTTATTAAAAAAACTTTTATTTTTTATCTTTTATTTTTGCTGCAAAATCCTAGGCAATCCATGAAACATGTTCTATTTTTCCCAGCACAATGTGCAATCTTTCATTTCGAAGAAGCTATTTATTCTTCATGATCATGAATGAAAATATACTACTTTCGAGACCAAAATCGAAATGTTCTGTTCTTCGTAGTCAAAATAAATAGATTGATCTTCTAGCAAGAAAAATGAAACATGCTACTTTTCATAACGCATCGATATTCATTTATAGGAATATGAGAGGCAATGAAATCTTTATAGTGCTATTTTCATTAAGGAAAGTGACGTTGATACGGGTTTACCCCATCATGGGTACGTAGTACCTATAAAAAGCCGATATTAATAGAGCACTAAGGAGAGCCACAAGAGGCGTTTACTTATATGCATTTCGCAAAATCTCCTTAAGGATATAACCTTGACTTAGTATGTATATCGTTCCATGAATATTCCAAGACTCTCTTGCTCAAAAATATCTCGCTTATATTTAGATTTCCTTCCCATCCGAGAAGAAGAAGTTTTATCTTGCTTTCTGACCGACTTCTATGGAATAACAATTTTATTTTAATAACTACAACGACTCGTTTATCGTGCATAAACGTATACACAAATCATTGTATCGAAACATCGAGTAAATTTGTATTTTTATAATATTAGAAAAAAAATTGAAGAAATTATTTGAGATATTTATTACGATATTTTATCAAATTTTGATTTGTATCCGTTTCTATCGCTTAATGGTCGATTGAATATTAATTATTTTACAATTATTTTTTTATATAGGTTTCTATATGCGATATAAATGCAGAAGATGGTGAAAAATTAGCGGAAACATTGTCCACGGAGTACGGAAAAGATCGTGTAATCTTTTGTCAATGCGATGTCACAGATTATGCGCAATTCGAGGGTAAAAATTCTGATTTAATATTAATATAAATATGAATAATAAAATACATTGTTAATTATGAATTTTCTTGTACAAAATTTAGAAATATTTCAAATATAAATATAACATCTTTATTTTTAAATGATAATGACTTTCTTTTGTAATAAATCTAATATTGCATATTAAAATCTCATTTTGCTTCATTCTTTCTTTTATCTACTTCTATTCCATATTTATAATATTGTATAGTGTATCTGCATAACAAAAATTATAAATTTTATTATAATTTAATTTTAAATTTTTTTATTAAATCTCTAATACTAATATCTCTAATATCTCTACGAATAATCTAATTCGTAGAATCGTTTCAAACGACGTTCGAGACATTTGGCCACATCGATATCGTTGTTAATAACGCTGGTATCATGAACGATCGGTTTTGGGAATTAGAAGTCGACATCAACGTTGTGAGTATTTATATCCAACATCCTTATGACTTTACTGTTTTACTACTACTTTTTCTTTTAATTTTCTGTTTTATCTGCACGAGGTCTTTGTTGAAATTATTGCAGAATGGCGTGATTCGTGGAACTATGCTCGCTCAGCGATTTATGGGGACGGATAGGGGTGGCCAGGGTGGAATAGTGGTTAATATTGGAAGCAGCATCAGCATCAACCCTTACACCAGTGTTCCAATTTATTCTGCCACCAAGGCGGCAATCGTCCACTTCACCAGAGCGTTTGGGGTAAATAAATTTTTTAAAATAAAATTTTCTTTCACACATTTTCATTTATAAATATTAAAGGAAAAAATGAATAAATAAAAAGATTAATAATGTATTAAAAAAATATAAGAAATTATATTATAAATTTACTTATGTATTTCATAATATAATTTTCATGATAATTTCTTAATTCATCTTTTATTTTTTAATTAATTTTAATAATGCACTTCTTCAATTTAATTTTGAAAAACATTTTGTTTCGAGACTGTTATTTATATAAATAATAATTAAATAATTATTAATAATATTATATTATAATAATATAATATAATATTAATTATATTATTATATTATATATATTATAAATATATAATATATAATAATAATTATTATTATTATATAATTTATATAAATAGAATTAAATATAGAATCATATATATATATATTGTTATCGTAGCACCAATATCACGTGGATTTAACCGGTGTAAAGGTGATGGCATTGTGCCCAAGTGCGACAGATAGCAAAATATTAGGAGATGTCAGTAAACAGTTGCTCTCACCTCGGTATGTAGACGCCTGGCTTCGTGACACAGCTAGTTCTGTTCCTCAAAGGTAAGAAATTAATTTTTAAATAATAATTACAAGATTCTATAATATTTTTTTTATTATTTTAATAGATAAATATTTTATTATACGTCTATATATATGCAATTTATTATTGTTGCTTTATGAAATAAACAAATATTTTTATGATAATGATTAGAAGTTTAATAATCTTCATACTCGTTTCTCAAAATTTTAATTATTGAATTATTTATTATTAAATATGATAATATCGCGTGTCATTAAATGTTTATATTTATTATGCATAAAGAGGTTGTAGACTATAAATATATATACGATCGATATAATATTCACTCTCTTAGGCTCATACATAATAATATTAAATTATTTTATTCACTATTGTTATATTTATATAATATTAAAATACACATACAGGGTGTAAATTGTATTTGTGGAACACCTTCAATGGACGATTCGAGAAAAGTAAATGCAAATGATATAAAAAAATTTCAGTTAAAATTTATTTATTAAATTATAAACAATTGAATTTTACTAAGATTTGATCTCTCATCTCTTTTCGCTTTATTTAACGCAAAATTAAATTGTTTATTACTTAATAAATAAGCTTCCATCGAATTTTTATATTCGCACTTATTATTAATTATACTATTCCATTATTATTATGGCAACTATTAGTATATTTAAATGCATAATATATTAAATTATTAATTATTTCATTAATAATATAATTATCTCCATTATTTTACTTTTCTAATATTCAAATTTTTTCTCTAAACAAAAATTATTTAACTTCAAACTCTTCATCACAGTGTTAGAGATAAATATTCTAACAGAAGTTTCTCACTTAATATTAATATTCCAATCGAATATTTCGAGACAATTATTCATCTTCACAATTTTCCAGAGCGGAACACGTGGCCAAGGCATTGATCCAGATCCTGAATACAGACAAAAGTGGAAGCGTTTGGCTGGTTGAAAAAAGCCAACCACCTCACGAAATCACATTCCCAAAAATCTAAAAACTTTAACTGCCATCATTCGCGTGGATCCTCTTCTCGCTTCAATACGAATAACTGTACTATAATCACGACGCCGTAACGAGATTATTAATATAAAAATCTGAAAGATCACGCTCTCTCTCCTTCTCGATCTTCTTAATCGAATTTCGAAAAATTCCAATCATTTCTAAAATCTTATCTTGAAATTGCATCGAACATGCCCTTGAAGGGAGGGATGGATCAATATCTGAAGCGTGCAAAGCTATGCGGGATCAAGAACGCGAATATAGATGTAAGGGAGCATAAATCGCATTACCAAAGATTACGAAAGGCAGTTTGTATGGTGAAAGCGTTTCTTTGTATGTTGTTATCCGTTCGTGTTAGATTTAGAAAGAATAGCGCTCGTTCTTATAACATGATAATTTAATTAATGGATTTAACGGAGCGATCGTTCCTATTTTCCATCGAGTGGTTGAAACGATCTCGAAAGGGGAGTTCTCGATAAGTGGCGCTTATATGTGATTAAGTAATGAATGAGAGAGAGAGGGAGAGAAAATACTCGATGGAAATTGGTGAGTTGAAAAATCAATGGAGATAAAATCGTAAATCGTTTGGGATAATTGGAATATCGTAAAAAAATCGAAAATCGTTATCGATTTCAGGATTGAAAGAATCGACAACTTCGTGTAAAATATTTCCATGACACTTATACTTACACTTTACATTTGTTAATAACAAGTAATTTTGCACGGAACAGATTTGTAAGGGATCTTTTTTAAATAATTGTAAAATCGAAGGCTTAGATAGATCTTGTACAATGGTAGCGGTAAGGAAGAAAACGGTGAATTTTTCACGCATTTTCTGAACCTTCGAAACAAAATGGTCTCCTGTTTTTAATTTTTTTTTATTAATACACGATTTTATTTTTATTTGTAAAATTAGTACGTTAGATATTTTACTTTCAATTTCACCGAATGTTTCGGATTGAACTTTGTTCGAATAAAATTGTAAAATTGATCAATCAATTGTATTCTATTGACGATTATTAATCAATCATTAATAGAAAAAATGAAGTTTAAAATTGTGTACAAAATATGTAATTTAATCTATGAAAGAATTTCAATGAAAATCGAACAAGGTTTTGATCTCTAGAAAAACTCAAAAAGTTCTCGGTTAACGAAAGCGTTCGTTCAAAATGTATGAGCATTCTTCAATTAGGCTTGTAGTGTTGTAATAAGGCAAAAAAAAAAAAAAAAAAAAAAAAA